TACACCCTCACTACACCCTCACTACACCCTCACTACACCCTCACTACACTCTCGCTACACCCTCACTACACCCTCACTACACCCTCACTACACCCTCACTACACCCTCACTACACCCTCACTACACCAAGATTGGTAGTGTCGCAAAGTATTTAAAACACACCAAAGTATATTAATTATCCGTATGATTCGCAAGTTTCATATGTAATGTCAAGTTATCACTCAAAGTTAATGTCACTTTTAGATACGACGAGGGCACCATCATGATAAAAGTGGGCAGAGAGGAGCCCGCCATATCCATGGACGTGAACGGAGGGAAGATCATCTGGGCGAAACACTCGGAGCTGCAGCAGGTGAACCTGAAGGCGCTGCCGGAGGGTGAGTAGGCGCGGTGTGGGCGCGTGGGCGCGTGGGCGCGGTGGGCGCGCAGTGACGGGGCGTTGTGCAGGCGCGGAGCGGGCGGACGGCGAGCGCGTGCCGGTGGCGGCGAAGGAGATGGGGGCGTGCGAGATCTACCCGCAGAGCATCGCGCACAACCCCAACGGGCGCTTCGTGGTGGTGTGCGGCGACGGCGAGTACATCATCTACACGGCGATGGCGCTGCGCAACAAGGCGTACGGCGCCGCGCAGGAGTTCGTCTGGGCGCACGACTCCTCCGAGTACGCCACGCTCGAGACCTCCGACACCGTCAAGGTCTTCAAGAACTTCAAGGAGAAGAAGACCTTGTCGCCCACGCTGGGCGCCGGAGGTGAGCGCGCTCTCCGCTACCGGCTCCCGGGTCCCGGGTCCCGGCCTGACCTCTCACTACTGAGACACGACTCGGTTCGCAGGCATCTTCGGCGGCTGCATGCTGGGCATCAAGTCCATCAGCGGCGCCATCTTCTCCTTCTACGACTGGGAACATCTGGACCTCATCCGGCGGTGAGTCCTCCTCTACTCCTGCCCCGCTCGTTTTGTAGTAGCGCAATGATGTCTGCACAGTCCGGCATCACAATGTCATACCAGTGGTCGAACAATACATAGGAGTATGAGTTTTTGTGCAGCATCGAGGTGCAGCCGCGGCAGGTGTACTGGGCGGAGAGCGGCGCGCTGGTGTGCCTGGCTGCCGACACCAAGTACTACGTGCTGCGCTACGACGCCGCGCTGCTGGCCCGCGCCAGGGAGGACAACCTCGACGTCTTCGAGCAGGGCAAGGAGGCCTTCCAGGTCGGCGTCCCCTCCTCCTCCCGCTGCCCCCTCCTCCCGCCGCCCTCGCCGGTACATACCGATACGAGTAATGTTCCCGCTCAGGTGGTGGACGAGATCAACGAGACGGTGAAGACGGGTCTGTGGGTGGGCGACTGCTTCGTGTACACGACGGCCGCCAACTGCCTCAGCTACTACGTGGGCGGCGACATCGTGGCGCTGGCGCACCTCGACCGCCCCATGTACATCCTCGGCTACGTCGCCAAGGAGAACAGGTCCGCCCTCTCCCTCCCCC